CTGCCTCATCGCCTTTGATAATGTCCACCGCAGTTGTGGACGAAACGTCAGGAAGAAATTCCAATGGACCACGGCTTCAAAGCCCGAAAAAAAACATTTCTCTATGTGTTTTCCACAAATGCTGTAATGTTTTCTTTATTTTCCAGATCAGCCCAGATCAAATGACGCCAGCTGTCCAGTTTTCACGATGTAAACTCGGTAGAAGATGCAACAAATTCCTCTCGGTAAGTGTAGAATGTTTCACCCCGCAAACCAGGGTCGATTGAACTGTGAATGCGCACTTTATCGGAGAGTAGCTATTAAAAATTTACCAAATCCCCCGTCAAGCTAATATCAATATTGATCTACTTACTAACACTATCCCCTGAGATCCGCATCAAACATGATTTATTTAATCGCGACGTAAGAAGAGGCTAATTACTTTGGGATTATTTGCATGCTCGGTAATCCCCTTTTACTCAGGTTTAGCGCAATGGAATAAACATGCCTCTGATTTTGCACACGTGTGGCTCCCATAGAGGTTTTAAAGTGATAATTCCCTGTGTTTTTCCTTGATGATGTTCGAAGGGTTCGAAAATAATAAGCTCCCAAATTAACCGGATAATGTTCGCAATTTAAGTCTATTCTCGCAAAACTGCCTCACAATTCATTTAAGAGGGAGAAGTAGCCAATTAGGAGCAAAGTAACGCAAATTTGAGCTCTCAGTCGCTTTATCTTCGCCTTTGATACCTGCTAGACGTATCTTGAACAGACGACGATATCCGTGCTGGTTATGCCAGTCTAATTTCAACGTATTAAAAGGGGGCTCTTTTTGCTACTACGCCTAGCCTGGCTTGAAACGGGCCTTCCAGTCTTATTAAATTATGCCCTATTACAGCATGATTTATTACTGTCTTTGTTTGTACTCTAGAAGAAGCATTATGTAAACTCAACTGCCGGGCTTGTAGCGAATGTAACATTTATAATAACTGCTACTTATGCAGAATAGTTATTACCATATCATACATTATAGCATATAAAGCGCGCCCAGCTCATATATAATTTATAGGTGTTTGCCCAAGAGCAAAACAATAATAGGAATTTGTAATTGTAATCTCGGTATTACCTCTCTTAACTTATTGATTCGATTGCATGCATTTATGAGATTACGTCCAGTTGTTTCAAGTCTGAAGTTTTGCTTTTTATTATTTTATATACTTTTATTTTCATTGCAAAAAAACGGATTTATTTTGTTAGGAACTTTTGCTCAGTTCAGAGCAAACAAGCCTTGAAATATCGAGGACTGGACCTTTGCTCAGCTCCAATATAACTCAAAGTTGGTCCAAGAAAAACCGAAGTTTTTTGCCCATACTTTTTAGATAAACCAGATACATTTAGAAACATTTCCTTCCAATGGAAACTTGATCTCTCCTTCTCCTGGCTGGCACAAGGGCAGAAAATCATTGGCATTTAAATACCACACATTGTCTACAAGTGAAAATATATACAGTTTAAATATTAGCACATTATAGGCTAATTAGGAAGCCTAATGAGATAAGAACCTTTAAATAAGGGCGCATTTGGCAGAATGAACCCCTGTTAAGTAGGCTAGAATTAGGCAGGCACATACGACAAGTATCTCGGTCTAATTAAGCCGCACCAGCCAGGTAGACGAATCACAAGAGAAACCAGAATACAAATTTGCATATTGTTGGCCCGAATTTGTTACGTTTGCTTATCAGTCTAATTACGCTGAGCCGCTCGGGAACAATTCGCACTATCAATGAAATAACGTGAACAACAAAGGAAAAAATATTTTGGGGTATCAAACAATTGTATTGTTGCATTTAATTCAATTATAAAACTATTAAATGTGAAAAGAATTAATTGTTTTTTGCAATCAAATGTTCGGTACATTTACCTATTGTTTACCCAATGTAAATGACAAATAAACGTATAAGTAAAAACAAAAAATCGATGTGGATAAGTATGGATGGTACAGTAGTTAATACGTAAAAAGTCGAATAGAGTTGTCTTTGCTTAATACGTAATTTTAAGGATATTTTAAAAACCTTAGTGCTATCAAGCATTACCTAAGGGACTAAACCCTGGTTCCATGTTTCCATTAAAATGGTGAATTTTTTATTTTATTTACTGGCTCCTCTCAGCTTAAGCTAATGGCAAAAACTCTTGCACCGACTTTGTTTTCGATGAAGGTATTTAATAATTATTTTAAATCCTTCTTTGATAATAAGTAAGGGTTTACCTACTTATTAAATTTAGATGCTCGGGCTGATAATGCTCTAGTAGCTGCAATTTAGTACTTTTTTAATATAAATATTTTAAGTTCTCCAAAAAAAGCCTTCTTACAGGTAGAAACTTGTRGTATTTTCGCTCTTATCGCCACTATATTAAAAGTAAWATTGAARCAAAAGTAACAGTAACTTTTSTTTACTACTCTCAAAACTCTTTCGCTAAGTATGATAAATWTGTTTTTAAAAATATAAATAATATGCCAGAAAAGCAAAGCATTAGAAAGATGGAAAGTTGTAAGTACATTTTGAAACATCTGGAACTTCTACCATGTTTTTCAATGAGTTCGATGCATTCTTCGCGTCCATGAGATGAAAACGATGTAAAATTTAAGACGTTTTGACAAAATTTTMATTTTWTMAAAAAATCGACCYCCAACCTTRGATCAATTTCGGCTAAAAATCAAACTTTTWCATGCGTGTTTTTTGAGCTCAATCGATTCCTTTCGACTCAAGAAGGTCACAATTTTCGGTCRCATAAAGTGTTTGGGTCAATAATAAGGAAGAAATCGTCAGTTAAAGATCGTGAACGCTTAAAATGTGCCGAAAATGTCTATTATTTCGGATCTGAAACTTCTAGYATGTTTTTCAATSAGTTCGATGCATTTCYCGCGTCCGTGAGCTGAAAATGATGTAAAATTTAAGACATTTTGAGAAAATTTTAATTTTYTCRAAAAATCGACCTGTATCCTTGGAAAAATTTCGGCGAAAAATCAAAATTTTACATGCGTGTTTTTTGAGCTCARTCGATTCCTTTCGACGTAAGAAGGTCACAAATATGCATTTRTAAAGCGTTTGGGTCAATAATAAGGAAGAACTCGTCGGTTAAAGATCGTGAACKMTCGAAAAAMGCKTAAAATGTGCCGAAAATGTCTATTATTYCKGATSKGAAACTTCWAGCATGTTTTTCAATGAGTTCGATGCATTCCTCGCGTCCGTGAGGTGAAAATGATGTAAAATTTAAGACATTTTTTACAAAATTTTAATTTTTTCAAAAAATCGACCCTCACCCTTGGAAAAATTTCGATTAAAAATGGAAATTTTACATGCGGGTTTGTTGAGCTCAATCGATTCCTTTCGACCAAAGAGGGTCACAAATATGCATTTATAAAGTGCGTGTGTCAATAATAAGGAAGAAATCGTCGGATAAAGATCGTRAAGGCTKAAAATGTGCCATAAATGTCYATTATTTCGGATACGAAACTCCCAGAAATTTCCTATTTAAGTGAGTTTTTGCTCATTTAAACCAGCCGATTTTGTCTTTMGAGTGRTGTWRTGGGCCGCAATCAGGAATTTTTAGTTTTTTCTGCCCAATTTTTGGAAAACTCGTGTTTACTAACGGCCAGTCGACTCGCATTAGTAACTGAAAAAATCCTGGAAACTCCCAGTAATTTCGTATAAAAGTGAGTTTTTCGWAAAAAGTCAGCCAGGGTCAGTAAGAGAGACTAAATMATGTTTTAACGTCCAAAATACGCTGCGATCGCYGTGATAACACAAACAATTTTGCAATAAATTTTAAATCTTAAACCTTCCGCATTAAATTTACCACACAAGATAGATAGAACGCAGTCTAAGTCTTTAAGTCTAAAACAGATCTATCAGAGCCTGAAAGTTTAAAAAGGTAATTTTCTCAATTTAAGATTCTCCTCGTGCGCGATAGAATATTTTTTCGCCCTCACTAGTAAGACTTTCTGCCGTTTTCTCCGTATCAAAAATGATTATTTCACGATCGTATCCTTGTTCCAGACAGCTAGTCCGAAAACCGTAATACCAGTGTTCAATTTCTTCGTGACGCGTGTACGTGATGTGGTCCAAACTGCTTAAAATTCAACTCTGGCCGCAACATATGTCAGACAGCGACGAGTCAAATATAAGGTACATTTGCGATCCATCTGCCATAAAACCAAATCTATTAAGCTAATGGATTTGAGGTATTTTTTCTCCAGCCGTTTCGGTGAGGGCCGATTTGGTACATTTGAAAAATTAGTGCCAAATTTTGTAAATATTTGACGAGGATACGTTATATAATCGAATGAAGTGGGCTACCAATGAAAACTCCAAATCGTCTACCTACTTGTCTATGTCTATGAGAGGAGGTAGACCGCATGGTTATGAGGAATACCTTTGCCCTCAATGTAAATTGCACATTGATATAATCGGTGACGGTTTGAACTGGATACTTTAAACGAACCATCTAATCTAAGAGAGCATGCCAGCAGGTTAGACCTGCTGGTATTAAATTTTTAGTTAGAGCTTTGTTCATTATCAAAATTGTTCATTAAATATGCTCATTTTGAATGCGAAAAATCGGAAATACTAGCGGCTAAGCTGAAATTGCCAATTACATCAGCCGAGTTCAATTTGTTCTTGTTTTAATTAGCGCCAGTGAGAGTGTCGGTTGTCGCTCCCATTTAAATCAGCCCTCCCTAGGAGGAATCAATTAAAGCCATTCATTCGTGTCCGCAGCAAAGGACACAACGCCTTTCAAACGCGATTGTCGCCAATTTGACAGTCATTTACATTTTCGGCGCTTGATAATAAAAGGAATAAAGGGCGTCGATTTTGTCAGAAGCGGTACACTTTTATTTTCAATTTTCCAACCGACTTCTTTATACCGCTTTTTTCCTTCCACCCACCCACGCTTCTACGAACCCTAACAGATGCACCCTCGAATGCTTTGCGAAATATTCGATATTTTAATTCATGTCTCTAATGAGGCAATTAAATAATAAAAAAAACATATTTGAAAACAAAAACTTTACAGTAAGTTAACTTATACAAAACTTCCATTAAAAGGACGGAATTCAAGTAATTTCTGGACTCTTAGCTTTCAAACTGGCTTTCGTGAAAGTTATCGTTAATTTTCTTTACCTTCCTTACTTTAGTACATTGCTTTTTATG